ACGACAAAGGCTAAGGAAAATAGACTGAAACGTTTATAGGCTGATATAAAGACCTTGACTCATTTCTTGCCTTAAAGACCTGCAAACGAGTAATAAGCTCGATTCCAAGAAATGCAATCAAAAGCAGAATAGCTTGAGCACATCGATTCGATTGAATTTCGTTCGACTTCAAATGGAGAACATTTAGCTCAATTGAAATATAGCTAGTGCTTCTCAGTATAACGACTGCCTGGGTACACGCAGCAAAGCGTCTAGTTTTATTTTGAACGGAATAATTTAACCTCAGTTTCTATATTTCTGTGTAGGTTTCCTTCGTTCATAGCTACATAAAGATTTATACAGTGTTCGTTAATAACAATAACAATAACAATAACAATAACGATAACAATAATAACAATAACAATAACAATAACAATAACAATAACAATAACAATAACAAAAACAAAACCAAAACCAAAATAATCAAGGAACGTAAATGGAGTCCTTTAGAACTTGGATAAACTTTATACTTACAGGACAAACCCACTGATAGATCACTTTGCTGCTGTTGAGGAATGTCTAGCACACGCAAATTTTCTTGTAGTAGAGGACCTGTAAAGAGATGTATTTTAATTATACAGAGAAACCTGAACTAAATAGATGGTTGAAGAAAAGGCCGCTTCCTATACAAGCTTTGTACGAAATTAATGTACAAATCGGACAGTATAAAATGCAGATTGCCGTCCGCAAACCAGACTGTCGTTTGTCGTATTACTTGTATTGTACAGGGCAACGTACAGTAAAATACATTGAGGATATTACACTTTGGCGAGAAGATATGAACTTTATGCGGCAGGTATATTTTGCAGGGTGCAGGGTGCAGGTTGCAGGCTGAAATTTAATTATAACTGAAAAACCGCTGGCACTAAAAATAATTAATAACCTATATACTTGTCGGGGGTTCTTACATAAAGTAGTTCGCCTCTTTCACGTAGTGAAAACACGCTGTTATTAATATTTAGACCTTCTTTGGCAATCTTCTAACTTGTTACGCCGTGTACAGAAACCAGAGACTTCGTACGCTTCCCAACATGTTTGTGATCGCACTTGGTNATGTTCACTTTCATCACTCATTTTGAAGAAAACAAAATTTTGCAGCAGCAAAATTGTTTTTGTCATTAACTCGCATCGATTTTGCCGCACGCCTTTCTAGTAAGGCCGTACGCGTTTTTCCGGCCCTATCACTTCGACGCGTACGGCCCTCATACGGGACCTTTTTTCTTCTGGTTTTGCAAGGACATTGCGCGAGGGGCCGTACGGGTCATATGATAATGATTAATAAGCCGCGCGAAAACATTTTCGATGATGCAATATGGGTTTTAATTATTCTCTAGCTTTCCATGTGCGCTATTTAGTTACAAAACCTTTAATCATGGTAACTTAAATCAAGCTTATTATTTTGCAACATTAAATATCAGTCTTGACGCAATTGCTCTGTCATTCCTTGGAACTTGCCAAAAATCTATTTGTCCCAGGACCATATTTTAAAACAAAATCTTGGAAATCGACTGTCTTCCTTTCATGTTTTATTTTTGACAAACGGTTCACATCGCATTAATTCACTCAAGTCGAGGACATTTTCTTCCGCTAGAAGACAGGAAACAAAAACAAAACAACACCAAAGAATGACTCCACTTTTGACAAAAGTTTGAAAGCACAATCTTAAGAATAAGATCCACTCCAACCTCAAACCCAAGGCCATAAGAAAGGACATGAGCATGGCACATAAATATTTAGAAAACAAAAGCTATCGGAGAAGAACACCAAAAAGAATTGTCAACCGCCATCAATTGTCAATCGTCATCATCATCATTTGCAATGCCAGTGTCACACCTACCCATGGTTCCTGGAGGTGTAATCTGTCTCAAGTGTTCAACCACATCCCGCCTGTTTGAATACTTTGCATTTCTTGCCAGGCACCGGATCCATTTCCTGGTCTCAGGCTCTGGCTGTTCCAGTGACGTGTGCTCCAGCTGCAGATTCTCTATTAATTTATCTACTACTTCTTTCGGATTGTTGGTCTTTGATCGAAGGATTCCAAGAACGTCGACAGGCAAGACAAGGGAAGTGTCACTATGACCTGTGGATTTAAAATGCACACACACAAAAAAAAAAGAACAGAAAAAATCTGGAGAATCAAGAGAGAGCAAACAACAGAATGAATGGTTGAAAATCACAGACTTTCAAGTGTAAAGGAATCCCTTGGGACAGAAACAGCTAAATTAAAAGGAAAAAAAACCAAGAAATACGACAGAAACTTACCATGTGAAAAAGGAAGGAGCCTTCCGGCACTTTCATTGGCTACTTCAACTTCCGGTTGGTTAACCCGCTGAAGGGATCTCTGTATGTTGCAAGGTAAGGCAGGTAACATTTCCGGCAGCTCATCTAATTTAGATATACAAATGTACACACTTAGAGACGGACATAAGCATATTATTGTTCGCAAGGATGTTTAAGGGTAGGGTTAATCAAGTTGAAAAAAAATCAATCTTATTAACAAGAAAAAGAAAACTGACCTTCCACGAAAGGGAGTCCCCCATCATGTTCATCGGACATTGGCTGCTGTTGGCAAATAGGAAATAAAGAGACTTTTTAATTTTCTCGTTTGCTTACGAAATTTAAGGTGGTTCCAGTTTCTTCCATTTTTTTTTCTGTGAAGTTTTACAAAGTGTTTAGTCTTAAATAATCAAAAACGGTAGTTACCTAACTCCTTGTTTTACTGCAATCCCTCAAAAATTAAATAAAGGATGTGATGGCAAGATATTGTTGCTATGCTAACGTACCGTATCATAACGATGATCAATTCGACCGTTGGAAATTTGTTTAACATCATCATTATGAAATTCAAATCATGTAATTTAATCAATCCATGAAAACACAATCGCTGAAAGCCGCCACGAGCCAGATAAAAATGATCAAAGATGACTCAGTTAAAGAGAATCTTGATGATTAATTTTACACCTCTAATTATATGAGCCGCGAAATCTTAAAGGCACACGAATTTGCAGAGCCATAGTAAATCTTTCTACTCCTGTCGAACCTTTTCCTTCACGCAACACTTGCTCACCTTAACATCCTCAGATGGAAACCAAGGCGCAAAGTGTCCAACCGACACTCGGATATCTTGTGCAGTAGCGGATCTGTCGCAGAAGACTTGTATATTATTGCCTAGTTTAGAATCTGGAAAGAAGTGAAGACATTCCTCTTGTCTGCAGCTTTCTGCATCGTGATTTTGGCAGTAGTTCACTGCACGTCCTTGACAACAAACTGGACATAAAAAACTCAGCTCACATGCTACGTTCGTAATCCAAAAAAACTTGTTCCGCATGCAATCAATCATCGAAGGAAGCTGGTTACGAACATCACGAGCCGAGATCACATCAGAAGCGTCAAAAGTTTCTTTACCTGTTAGGATAAGAAACTCGATGGAGAAGGAGTGGCAAAGAAGGACCACAGAGCGGGCTTCTCCTGGAAGGATGTGAAATCTGGCAAAATTCTTGAAAAATTGAGGGGCTGCTTGCCGCGGAAATCTGTCACTACACCATTGA